GATTGGTATGCAGAGGTAAGCAGCTGCAGCTCAAACTCCACCCCTCCGACGGGTGGAGCAATTGCTCAATGGGTAGGGCTGAGGTTCTTGAGCTGTGGGCAGGAGTATGGCAACGCTCTCACACATTTAATAATGAGCTGTGCTGACCACAGTTGCCTGTTATTCACTTTGTGATATCAAATGCAAGGGTTATTATTATCATCAGTGAGGGCACTTGATAGATGTCAAATCATTAACAACTACTGACTATCCGGAGGGGAAGGGAAGAGAAGGTAAGCACGGTCTCCTTGGATATGAGCTCGCTATAAAGGTAACATGCCTGACAAGCGAATGTCAGAATCCAGTCAAAGCTTTGTGGTTGTCTTGTTCATTCAGTTCCATAGCAAGGTATGCATATAACTCCGGCACTGCTGATGACAGACCAACAGCAGCAGGACTTGGAAGGATAGACCAATCACTGGGGCAGGAATTCTACCTGCTCAGCACCCATTAACCCTGCTAAATCATAAGCGTCTAGGATGGACAAGTTGTGGGAAGCTTGTCAGACAATCCTGGATGGCAAGCTATGCGGTTAAACTTCAGAACTATCCCAACGCACACTCTAGGATTCCCCAAAGCCACTCCAGAATTAGGTAAGCACGGCGCACCCATCCAAACGATTCCATTTGTAGATGGAACTCGGTGGTCTGGATACTCAGCACAGTGATGGGTTACTGCATGCATCAGACACCCACCTGCCTGAGTTTAAAAAAAAGTTAATTATAGTCTCAATTGTTGCCCTGGCTAGGATCAGCTAACTCAGCACAGGCTGCGATCGAATGTGCGATCTCTGGTCCGCATTGCCCAATGCTGTGGCGTCATGACCTAACGATGATAATAATAATAATCCTTGCATTTGATATAGCGCTTTTCATGTCGGGAGGACGTCTCAAAGCGCTTCACAGAACACACTGTAAAGTGAATTGACTGTATATTTGTGGGCGAATGCGGCAGCCAATTGCGCACAGCAATGTCCCACAAACAGTCGTAGATTGAAAATGACCAATTTTTTAAAAAAAATTTATTATTGTTTTTGGTTTTGGAGGGATTATTATTAGGTGTGTGGAGTAAGGAAACTTGCCCAAGGTTTGGCCCTCTGCCTGGAATTGAACTCAGGTCTCTCACTTGCAAAGCGAGTGTTCTAACCACTGAGCTACAGGAATCCAATGATGGCGTCATCTGGTTGAGTTCAATTTAAAGTTGTAGTTTAACAAAAAAAAACTAAATTAAAACATGGTGGCTCAAACAACTCCCTGCCTCAGGATCGAAGGCAGAACTCAATTAGCTTCCGAACTACCAGACCAATGACCAAAGACACATTTTGTGAAGGCCCGAGTCAAAACACCTTGCCCCCACAGTAAAAATGTATTGACTACACGACACACACAAAAGATTTTTAAACAAGTATCCTAAATCACTTTAAATTAGGACAGACAGCACTGACAAAACAAAATGAATTCTGTACATTTGAGGTGAAAGATTTAATTATTTTCAACCAGAATCATTCCAATATCTGGGGTGTTTAACGGTATCTACATACTCACTTAGAACATCTACTGTACCAGGTGGCACTTACTGCTTTAATAAGGCTGTTCATAACGTGATTCAACCCAGGTTCAAACAGTACCTCTGTGATGCATCTGACAATCTGTAACAAGTACATTATTTAGCAGCAAGGCTACATGGTATTAATCCTCTGCATACTTCAGGGCTGTCAAAAGCCAGTGCACTATTGAGCAAGTCTGCAGTGCCTCATTGCTTTTTGCTATTTGGCACAAAGCTTGTGCCTCAGCATTGAGCATGTCCAAGTGCATCTTATGGGAATCTGTCACCAGAACTGCTGTCTGGTGAAGCGACCGCATTCCCACAACATGGCCTCGAACTGGAGTCAGCAACAGCAGACCAACATCCCAAATGTTAAAAATTCAATATCTAACTGCCAATACTAAATCATGGTTCCCATATAGAATCTTGCAACTTTATAGCATCTTATCACGTTCAAATAAAGAGTGCTCATCAATTACAGATAGCTGTAGTGATGTTTTGTAGGCAAATACAACAACAACTTGCATTTACATAGCGATCTTCACATGGGGTAGCGTCCCGGAGCGCTTGACAATGGCACAGTCTGACCCCGAGCCTGGGAGAGAGGGGGTGATGACCGTAAGCACAATCAAAAAGGAAGGTCTTTTGGTGGGATTTGAAAGTGGGGAGTTCAAGGCAGAGGAACTGAGGGAGAGAGTTCCAGAGTTTTGGGCATAGTGACTGAAGTCACGGCCACCAATGATGGATCTGAGGGGACGAAGGAAAAACAGGAGGCCGGAGCCAGCCGAGCGGAGGGAGCGGATGATAAGCAAATCGGATCGGTAGTGAGGTACGAGGGCAAGAAGGAATTTGAAAATGAGTGAGCGGATCTTTCAAACGATCTGTTCGTTAAATGCAGCCATTATTTGGCACCAGTTGGGTCCCTCAAGCAGCCATAAGTCAAACAACCAATTAATTTGGAGTACTTTGAGAACTCCAGGAGAAACGCCCCTCTTTTCCAATCGTGTTGTGTAATCTTGAAATGTCCACCTGAACCTAGCAAGCAGATCCTCGGTTTAAAATCTCACTCAAATTAGCACCTCCTGGGCCCTCCCATACTGTATGGGTGTGCTGTTTGGGACTGTGGCCTTAAGTCTCAATTTGGGGCTTGAACCCACAAACAGCTAATAATAATCCTTGCATGCGAGACGTCTCAAAGCGCTTCACAGAATATACTGTGAAGTGAACTGACTGTATATTTTATGGACAAAACGTGGCATCCAATTGTGCACAGCAGCGTCCCACAAACAGTCATGAATTGTGCTGAGTGCTCCCAACTCAGTCAAGCCGGCATCCAACTTAAACCATTCCCCCAACTGCAATATCAGAACGAGAATAGACTGACATTTCATTTTGTTTTTATTTTTACAAGCCATCTAGAACAATACCAAATTAACTAATATCCATTGAGCATTTTAAAAGGATGCAGTTAAATATTGAAAAGAGCAGTTTTGTAGAAACTCAAAACCATTAAGTCACAAACATACACAGTAACCATACTCTTGTGCATCACAACAACCTAGTATTGACATCCTAGCTACTGTACATCACTGTTATTCCATCAGAGCAATGCTTTCCCCCCCCCACACCCATCATCAACCTCACCACAATATTACACTGCTTTTTATTCAACAAACACTGATGAGGCTTCTGATATTCAAATCCTTGGGTACACATTAACCTTCCCTCCCTTGCCAATCCCATTTTTTTTTTAAAAACACAAAAAAATGCACTGGGGCCACCCTACTACCGCAGCGATGCACAATATCTCATTAAAAAAGGGGATTTGCAATCTACAAACTGAGCATGCAGCATTTACCCCCACCCAAGCCCATCCACCACATTCTCAGCTCATACTGTACATTCCTCTGCAGGATATAGAATACATATTTGGAAGAGAAAATTCTGAATACACAGCAAGCAATTTTTTACCTTCACAAGGTTAACCACCATACCAGCTCATTTGCAACTACACATAGAAAATAATGAGATTTCACCAATGAACGAATCAAACGCAACCCTTTTAAAATATGTCACACACACATATATATATATCTCCCCACTGGTAATGGCATTCTCTCCATTTTGTAATTCTTGTCGCTTTTTTTTTCACAAAAAAAATGAACGCGCTCTTTTGAAAGGGTCAAAGAAAAAGAAAGCGCTCCAAAACAGTACGTACGAAACAAAAAAAAAGGATCAGCACATTTCTGCTGAGGGTTTCCAAGACAGGCCTGAAAAATTACTAGAGCATGGAATACACTCCCATGAATCAGAATCTGGTTGCACACAGGCTAATCCTACATTTCTGCCTCTATCATGATGAATCTGTTGTCTCTCTCTCTCTCTCTCTCTCTGTGAGTGTATATATCTATACCTATGTAATATATATAAAAAACACAAAGAGAGTTTAAATGAAGGCTCCTGTTTGCCCAGAGCAGGAGCTGGCGTTAGCTGCAGCCTGACTGCAGTGAGGCTTTGGGTGGTTCTTGTCTCTCTCTCTCTCTCTAACCGGCATTTTCTGAGGACGTGTCACGCAGTGGAGCTTCTCAACTATTTCCTACTTCCCCTCCCCTTTAAAAAACAATCCGTAAACACCGTCTCGCAAATAAAACTTACAAACCCTCCCAGACATCTATCCGACTTGCACAGTATCCAGTACACACAAAGCAAATAAACTTGCAGAAATATATATATATATACATATATAGGTTAATAAATAGCCCCCAGCTGGGCTTTTAGATTCTTTTAACTATCTCCTCGTGATTTATGAACGACCCCCCCCCTCCCTCCCCCACAAAAAAAATATAACCGGACTTGGAAGAGAATTAAATAAAAAGCGACACCCACATTGAGCATTTTGGGGGGTATTTTCCCCCTCGAGTCAGTCAGTCTCAGTCGAGCCTCCCTGAGACCATCCCAACACCCGTTCAGACAGACACAGACACAGACACAAAAGGTATTTCTTTCACAAATGTACCTCAGGCTCACAGACTGAACATAACATGACATGACATGACACACATTTAAAAAGATAATAACGCGCCCCACCACAGTCGCAACAAGTGCCCAGAGAGGGACAATCACAGGTCGCTTTCTCTCGAGTCAAACCCCCCCCCAACCCCCCCACACCAACCCCTCACCTCACCCCCACATTGTGCTCAACTCAAGACCATCGCCTTCCCCCTGAAAACACCGATGCACCAACATTTCAACAGAGACCGCCCCCACACAAAAAAAAACCCCTGTTAAGTTTCAGCCCCTCTCCCCAACACGATTATATTATTATCTGCAATGATATTATTATTATTATCAAAGCGATAAACTCCCCCCCACACACACAAGCCCCCCCCCCCCTCCTCAAAAAAAGTGAAGGATACGAAGGAGGCTGTTGTAGTCCTCGTATCACAGGCTGTGGTTTGGCTTTCTGTGGTAAGCTCATCTCAGGCTGAGGGAGACAAGAGAGAGAGAGGGAGAGAGGGAGAGGGAGAAGCGGGGGGTGTGTTGGACACACAGAGAGAGAGACAGAGAGTTACCTCAGGGGTGGTGCTCCCCACCGGGGACGGTTCCCGCCGGACCCCTTACCTGTAAATCACACCAATAATACCATTGACGGACGGCCCGGAGTGAGAGCTGGCGGCGGGGCGTGTCCCGAGAGGCAGGGAGTCGGGGCTGCGGGGCGGATGCGGGCGATTTTCACACAACAACCAACATGGCGAAGCGAGCGCCGCTTTTCCAGTCCCGAGAAGACGGCGCCCGGCGGCCCTCGGCAACTTCCGGAAAACTTCGGCGGGGCCTCGGCTTGTGGGGCAACTTCCGGAGCGGCTCGGGACCCCGCCCCCTCTCTCTCGGCTATTTCCGGAGCCTCCCCCCCCCCCCCCTCGTGCTCGGCTATTCCCGAGCCTCCAGTTCGGTAAGTTCCGGAAAGTTTCGCCAAGGCAGCGGTGCCAGAGTGAGACCACCCCAGATAATAATAATAATAATAATAATAATAATAATCCTCGCATTTGATATAGCGCTTTTCACGTCGGGAGGACGTCCCAAAGCGCTTCACAGAACACACTGTAAAGTGAATTGACTGTATATTTGTGGGCAAACGCGGCAGCCAATTGCGCACAGCAATGTCCCACAAACAGTCGTAGATTGAAAATGACCAATTTATTATTGTTTTTGGTTTTGGAGGGATTATTATTAGGCTCTGTGTGGAGTAAGGAAACTTGCCCGAGGTTTCGCCCTCTGCCTGGAATTGAACTCAGGTCTCTCACTTGCAAAGCGAGTGCTCTAACCACTGAGCTACAGGACTCTACAATTTCATCCATTCCTCACCCCCACCCACCGCACCCCCCCATCCCCAAACCTAACCCATCTCAACCCTCAAACTTATTGCACCTTTCACAGAGGGAGAACATCACAAGGCGCTGAAATAAACCCCATCTCAATCCCTAAACCTGTCCAAACAACAAATTCCAAAACCCAACCTAATTCCCAAACTTATCCCAATACCCAACTAAACCAAACACCAAAAACCCAGCTGCTATTCAACATCACCAAGAACAAAATGACATTTGTATAGCACCTTTCACGTTGGGAGGACGTCCCAAGGCGTTGGACAGACAGAGTTACGGACCCGAGCTGGGGGTCGGGGTCGGGGAGAGTGGAGGGCAAGGGGCGAAGCAGGGTCGAAGCATGGTCGAAGAGGAGGGTCTTGCAATGGGCCTTGAAGGTGGCAAGGGAGGGGCGAGGCGAATGGACTGCAGGATGGAGTTCCAGAGGGTGGGGGCAGAGTGGCAGAACGGTGAGCGGTGGGGGACATGAAGCAGGCCAGAGCCCACTGAGTGGAGGGAGCGAGCAGGATGGTAGGAGGTCGCAGAGGTAGAGGGGAGCAAGACCATGGAGGGCTTTGAAGGTGAGGACCAGGACCTTATATCCTCTGTGTGATGGGAAGCCAGTGGAGTTGGGCGAGGATGGGGGTGATAGGATCCGCGAAGCCTAGTGTGGGACAGGACATGGGCTGCAGAGTTTTGGATGATCTGCAGCCTGTGGAGGGAGGAGATGGGGAGGCCGACAATAAATGAGTTTGCATGGTCAAGCCTCGCTGTAATGAAAACATGTATAAAAGCCTCTCCCCACTGTCTCCAAACCTACCACTATCTTCTACTGCCCGTGGAAGAAGATCTCCCCGCAGTCCCTCTCTGCTGCCCTGGAGTCCTCTGAACTCCTCCCCCTCTGGCCTACCTCTCGCACCAACCCACTCGCTGTGCTTACTCTTCTCCACAGCACCCTCTCCACCACACTCGACGCCCTTGTGCCCCCCTCACCTCCCGAACTACCTCCTGTTCACCAGCCACATCCGCTCACTTAAAGGCCAGGTGCGGGCTGCTGAATGTACCTGGTTTAGATCCGGCCTAATGGTCTACCGCCGCATCTGGCTGGACCTCATCAAAACCTACCGCTCCGCTCTTGCTTTGGCCAAATCGTCTTTCTATTCGAGGTTAATCCTGGAGGCGAAGGGCAACCCCAGGCTCCTGTTCTCCACCACCAACCAGCTACTCCGCCCTCCCCGCCACGCCTTGCAGATTCTTTCCTCTGACTCTCACTCGGAGAAAATGCTGGACTTCTTCGAGTCCAAAATCAAGGGAATCTGCTCAGCTGCCTCTACCCTCCCAACTTCCAACCCCTCCCTAACCCCACCTCACACTCTGACAATTACCCATCCCTCCTTCCACACCTTTGAAACTGTCAACCCCTCCTCTGTCTTCACCACCATATCCGCATGAAGTCCACCACCTGCTCCCTGGACCCCATTCCTACCCCTCTCCTTAAATCCCAGCTCCACCTCCTTGCCCCACTACTCGCTGACATCATCAACCTCTCCCTGTCATCTGGCACTGTTCCTACCCCCCTCAAAACAGCCACTATCACCCCCATCTTGAAGAAACCTTCCCTTGACCCATTACAGCTATCCATTTACCGGCCCATCTCAAATCTTCCTTTCCTATCCAAGGTCCTTGTGAGAGCCGTTGCCTCCCAACTTCGCTCTTTCCTCTTCTCCCATTCCCTCCATAAATCCCTCCTGCTCTGGTCAAGATCACAAACGACATCCTGACCACTTGCGACCAGGGCTCCCTCTGCCTCCTTATCCTCCTCGACCTCTTCCACTGCCTTTGACACCTTGGACCATTCAATCCTCCTCCACCGCCTCTCCTCCCACCTCAACCTTCAGAGTTCTGTCCTTGACTGGTTCAGGTCCTAACTTTCACGTCGCCTCCACTTTGTCAGGTTCCGTGACCCCATCACTTCCACCCTCACCCGACTCCACTGGTTCCCCATCCCCCAGAGGACTGACCCAGAGTTCAAGATCCTCGTCCTCACCTTTAAGACCATCCATGGCCTTGCCCCCTCCTACCTCTCTGACCTGCCAATCTGCCTGCTCTCTCCATTCAGCGGGTTCCGGTCTGCTCCATGTCTCCCGCCCGACCTGCCCTACCATCGGTGGCCGCGCTTTCAGCCTCTCTGCCCCCACACTCTGGAACTCCATCCCACGGTCCCTTCGCCTCCCTTCCTCCCTTGCCTCCTTCAAGTTTGGTCTCAAGACCCTTCTCTTCGACCGTGCCTTTGGTTGCCCTCCCACCTCTCTGCCTTCACTTCCCCCTTCACTTCACTTCCTTCACCATGCCTCCCCTATGCTTGGGCCCCGACACCTGACTATTCAGCGCTTTGGGACGTCCTCCCGACGTGAATTTATAGGCACTCTATAAATGTAATTTTGTTGTTGTTGTTGGGTGAAGAACATCTCTTCAGGACTTCTTCACTCAAAGGGTGGTAAATATATGGAGCTCACTACCCCAAAGGGCTGTTGACACTCAGTCCTTGAACATATTCAAGACTGAGATAGATAGATTTCTTATTGCAAAAAGGATTAAGGGATATGGGGATAAGGCAGCGTCAGGTTATTAGCTGGGGTTAGATTAGAAGATCAGCCATGATTGAATGGCGGGGAAGGCTCGAAGGACCGAATGGCCTACTCCTGCTGCTACATATTATGTTGTGACTGGAGAAGAATTTGAGGCAGGAGGGGAAGGATCCAATCATGATAATCCATATAGGTAGGACTAGCAGGGACAACTTGAGGAGTGAGTTCAAGGAATTGGGAATTAAATTAAAAAGAACTTCCAAGGTAATAATATAGGAATTACTGCCTGAGCCATGTGCAAATTGGTACAGGCACAAACAAATTAAAGAATTAAATACGTGGCTGAAAGAGTGGTGTGGAGGGCAGGGGTTTCATTTTATGGGCTACTGGCACCATTATTGGGGGAAGGGGGATATTCCATAGAGGTGGGCTCCACCTAAACCGGGCTGGGACCAATGTCCTGGAAAAACGAGTAAATAGGGAGGTAGGCAGAGCTTTAAACCACTAAGGGGGATGGGGGGGAGGGGGGGATGGGGTGGAGGGAAGGCTACAGTTACAGTTAGAAGTAAACCAGCAAAACTAAGAACGATGAAGGTGGTAGAGCAGATTAACGAGGGAGATAAACAGAGTGTGTCAAGGAGGGACAAGAAGCTCAGCAAAGAAAATAGGGCATTAGCGAGTAGGGGAGATAGCAAGAAGTCAAAATTAAAGGCGCTATATCTGAATGCATGAAGCATTCGTAATAAGAATTAATCGCACAAACAGAAACAAACAGGTATGATCTAGTAGACGTGGTTACAGGGAGATTGAGGGTGGGAGCTAAATATTCCAGGATATTTGGCATATAGGAAAGATAGGCAATGTGGAAAATGAGGTGGGAGTAGCCCTGCTAATAAAGGATGGGGTAACAACAGTAGAGAGGAAGGATTTTAAATCAGAAAATCAGGATGTAGAGTCAGTATGGGTGGAATTACAAAATAATAAAGGGCAGAAAACGCTAGTGGGAGTAGTTTATAGACCCCGAACAGCAGTCACAGTATTGCGCAGAGTATTAACCAGGAAAGTAGAGGAGCATGTAGCAGAGGAAATACACTAATAGTGGGTGATTTTAATCTTCATATAGAGTGGGAAAACCAAATTGGCAAAAGTAAGTTAGAGGAGGAGTTTATAGAATGCATTAAAGATAGTATCCTAGATCAGTTTGCTGAGGAACCAACCAGGGAACAGGCTATCCTAGATCTTGTTTTGTGTAATGAAATAGGGCTAATCAGCAATCTGGAAGTTAAGGCTCCTCGAGGGCAGAGTGACCATAACATGATGGAATTTAGCATTAAGTTAGAGAGTGATGTAGTTAAGTCCGAAGCAAGGCTCTTAAATTTAAATAGAGCCAACTTTGCAGGTATGAGGGAGGATTTAGCTAAAATAGTCTGGGGAATTAGATTAAAGGATATGACAGTAGACCAGCAATGGCAAATCTTTAAAGATATAGTACACAATTCCCAGCGATCACATATTCCCTTGAGGAATAAAAATACTATGGGAAAAGTGGTTCAACCAGCTAACTAGAGCAGTTAGGGAAAGTATAAAATTAAGAGAAGAGACCTATAATGCTGCCAAAAAGAGCAGTAAACCCGAGGATTGGGAGGGCTTCAGAAAAACTAAGAAACTGATTAGGAGGGAGAAAAGGGATTATGAGGGCAAACTAGCGAGGAACATAAAGACA